TTATTCTGTTTCTATTCTCAGTTAATTACAAATATGGCGCTACTGTGCGCCGTTTTTGCTGTATTTAATTACAGACAAACAATCTCATAGTTTTAGTAGTACGTATATAGATATTACGCCACGCGTTGAGCTGAGTTATATCGATTATGTTCAAAATAATATTGACATAAATAACCTTTGATGTTGAATATACCGAATCTCGTAATTTTATGTGGCTCATATGACCCTCCCATCTATAAAGTATTGATGAATCATGTCATTGTTTTCTAGGCTCTTTGGGCACAAACTGAAAATTTTAATTAAAATGGATTAAGTACGTATTTAGAAAATTTAATATTCGGTCCTAGACGAAGTGCGTTTATAAACTAGCTTCTGATATTTTGCATTCTATCCGCATTCAGGTTATTGCTGTAAGTTCTGGTAATTTTTCGGCCTTGGACAAATTAGGAAATACATTAAGAACTTATTTATAATGTTATTGGAAGGTTCACATTCAAAGTGTATTGTAAAAGTGGTATACATATAGTCATATTATCATTGAATTAAGTATCATCCACCCCCCCCCCAAAAAATAAAAAATTTCAAGGATTAAACCACACTTTACAGAAGAATTACAGAAAGATCTAATGGGGAGGGGTGATTTAATTGCATTTTCCGTTGAAAATTATTTCTATAACATAACTGTCGATGACTTCATGGCACTAAGTAACATAACAGTATATTTAAATTTGTGTTTACTAGTTTCGAATATTCGCGCAAAGTTAAACAAGGGATACTTGCGCTAGCCTAATTTAATTTTGAAGAATAGTTCACTATTCGAAAGCGCTCGAGTTTTGGGTCTCGTTTGAAAAACCATTACAACTTTATATGTGTTCCTGTGTGCTTACTTCTTAATCATAATATAATTTTGAACTTATAGACTAGAGGGAAGAAAGCTGTTAAACATCACCCACTACTAACTATTGGGCTACTCCAATGAAATAGTGGGAATTGACTGTTACTCTTATAACGCACCAACTGTCCCAAAGTGCTGAGCGCGATTTTACGGCAACGGAACACGAACCAAGAACCATCGAATTTACAGTTACACACGTTAACAACTAGGCCATTCAAAATATGGATTTACATCAATGTGTGTTTAATTTATAATTTTTCCTCTTCAGTAGACCTAATGATTGTATGATAATCTCCAAGGTAAGTGAATAGGTCAGGGTAACATATTAAATGACAGGTAAGTGAGTCATAGTTAGTGTACCCATCCTCTTATTGTAGTTTTGTCACAAAAATAGTGTACTTTTCAAAACTACATTCTATCATTATCTGAATTTAAACTTATTTAAAATTGAAAATAATATTCCGATACTTTTTTGACTGATATTAAGGGTTAAAAACCAAGAGTAAAATAACGAGTGAACCAATATTTGACAAAAAAAAGAAAAAGAAATATAGCTTCAAAGCATCCCTTTGAGTTGTTTTTTTATTCTCACAGAAAAGACGTACGCTTGCCTGTGCAGCTACAAAGAGCAATGGCTGCTGAGGCAGAAGCTGCCCGTGAAGCACGCGCTAAGGTAAGAAATATTTGTGACGTATACAAATTGTAGATGTTTATGATTAGAAAATGTTGTGCCTCAAAACTATTTTAGGCAGAAACTGCAAATATAGTCAGTAGATGCTATATTATCAGAAGTCATTGCACAGTCAGTAGATGCTATATTATCAAAGTCATTGCACAGCCAGTAGATGCTCTATTGTCAGAGGTCATTGCACAGTCAGTAGATGCTATATTATCAAAGTCATTGCACAGCCAGTAGATGCTCTATTGTCTGAAGTCAGTGCACAGCCAATATTTGTTCTATTGTCAAGATTTATTGCATAGCCAGTAGATGCTTTATTGTCTGAAGTCATTGCACAGTCAGTAGATGCTATATTATCAAAGTCATTCCATAGTCTGTAGATGTTCTATTATCAAAGTCATTGCACAGCCAATAGATGTTCTATTGTCAAGATTTATTGCACAGCCAGTAGATGCTCTATTGTCTGAAGTCGTTACATAGCCAGTAGATGTTCTATTGACAGAAGATATTACAGTTTTTCTTCTCCATGAACGAAATTTTTGAAAGATTATCAATTTTAAAAATTATTTGAACTCGCTGAAGGATAAAGGTCGATATTAAACATGAAGAGAACTCTGTAGGAAATATTTATTCGTAGCTTTTGAGAAAATAAAATCAGTGGTTTTAATTTCCCACGAACATTAGTATGTGTGTGTGTGTTAGTAAAAACAAATGTTTATTTTTTTTTCGGGAAATCTAGGTTTAGCTTTCTCACCAAAGATGAGAAATAAACGTAACAGTCAGTCTCTAGCATTTAAAGTAGTGTAATATCAAATAGTTGGAAATATAACGTTGTTGAGGAAAACTCATATGATGGTAGTTTTGGGAAGAATTAGACTGTTATTTTTCCTTGTTTTGGTGGAATAGAACGACGTGAAATTTCAATGAGAAAAGGTTATTGTTAACTTTTTTTTCCACATTACCGATTTGATGCTTAATTCCAGCACCGTGTTCAGTGCGGAGTTGTTCCTTCGGGAAGGTCATAAGATTGTGGTTTGTAAGCATTTCTTATTCCTGACTTAACAATTTTAAAAGTTAAAATATTTTTTCGCATTTATACAGGGTTGTTAACTTATTTTCCGTCGTTATGGTGATTTTGTTTAAGGTAATCGCTGCTGAAGGAGAGCAGCGAGCGTCCAGAGCGTTGAAAGAAGCTTCAGAAGTGATCGCTGACTCTCCATCTGCTCTACAACTCCGCTACCTTCAGACACTCGGTTCCATCGCCACGGAGAAGAACTCCACCATCGTATTTCCCATTCCTCTGGAGCTTTTTAAAGGTTTTTTGAAGAAAGAAGAATGAAACGAGAACACGAAATACGAGAAATCAAAACAGATATCATTATAACCACAGCTCCGTATTTCTTCACTAATGGTTCAAATACATCTTTGTATATCGTTATAAAATAATACAAAGTGTATACCAACTGTACGACTACGCCGTCTGGTGTTAGCTTGTCAAACACGTTTGACTTCTGTCAGATACTTCGTGACAATTATTCATTGGTTAAAATCAAATTGTGCTGTGAATTTATGTAACCTGAAGCCAGATAACCTGGTACTTATTTATATTCTTCGTTATCAGTTCTGTATTTTTTCTCTTAATTCATTAACAAAAAAGTCATGAAAGATTTTATCATATCATCCTTCATTATTGTAATTCGTTGTTGTCTTTTAGTTGTTGTTGTTTTCATAGCTAAAACCAAATACGATAAAATGTATACGTAATAAACTGTTACTATCCCGATGTCATGCTGCATTCATGTGTCAGAGGAATTGTTCTGAATGTGTATTAGAAAACCAACAAGTATCGTACGAGTAGATTGTAAAATTAAATGGTTCTAAACGTCTAATTCTAAGTACATCACAAAATACGCTTGAAACTCCAGTATACCGAACTACCAGTTCATTTTCTTTGGGTTTTCAGGAAAGTAACTTTCGTTTCTTTTCTTCACCGCATTAAAAACCCTTATCTTGTAATTTAAAAACTGTTATTTGGCTTCGTTTATTTATCTTTTGTGTTACTTATTTGTCAGCAGCGTAATAAAAATCACTACTTAGTGTTTAAAAGTTTCATAAAATTGACTTACTATGCGATTTGTACTGTTATCTCGATTACTGTTTTTCTCAACAAACTGTTTTTTCTTTCATACAAAATTCTAAAAAAAACATCTTTGTTTTTAAAATACAAACAGAAAAACAAGTCCCAATCTAGTATGAAAATAAGTTTTTGTTGTGCCCAAATTTGTACCGCTGATTTTACCCTTATTTATGTTCACACACACTGGACTACACGGCCAGGTGAGAGACCCTTATGGCTCAGGTATAATAGTCTTTAGTCTTGAACTATGATAGTAACCAAAGGGAAGGCTACCCTAACAACACCTTATTTATGTTCACACACACTGGACTACACGGCCAGGTGAGAGACCCTTATGGCTCAGGTATAATAGTCTTTAGTCTTGAACTAGTAACCAAAGGGAAGACAACCAGTCGGTAGCCCTCTTATCCGAATAGCAGGATTGGTTGTCACTCTTATAACACACCCACAGCTGAAAATGCAAAACACGATTATCTGGTAATACGATGTCTCGAACCAGAGACC